AAGATGACGAATGATTCCTTGTCCAAGTCTAGCTTTATCCTCAGAAGGTTCCTCCGAGGCAAAAGTGAGCTGAAGGCACACCCCCACCCCGCCAGCAAGGCGCCTCCCGCGCCCGCACCACCCAGACCCACAGCCTGCACCCGGTCTGCTCTGGGCGTTGTACTTGCGTTTGGGGCGGGGGGAAATGGGAACTCTTTGTACCTTCAGTTCAGTTTTTCTGTGGACCTAAAACTGCTCTAAAAAACAAATTCTGTTTTTTAAAAACCCACAATGAATGAGAGTTCCTTTTGCTCTGTATCAGTGCCAGCATTTGGTATTGTCAGGGTTCTAGATTTTGGCCATTCTGATAGGTATGTAGTGGTATCTCGTTGTTCTAATTTGTATTTCCCTGATGACTAATGGTGTTGAACATCTTTTTAAGCAAATAGCTCTCCTTATATCTTCTGTGATGAGGTGTTCGAACCCTTTGCCTGTTTTTTCACAGGGTTATCTGTATTGAGTTGTGAGATTTTTATATATTCTAGAAACGAGTCCTTTATCAGATAATGTGTTTTACAAATATTTTCTCCCAGTGTGTGATTTGTCTTTTTATTTTAACAGTGTCTTTTGAAGAACAGTTTTACACTTTTAGCTGACGTTACAATCCATGTTGGGTTAATTTTTGTTTATGGTAGGAGGTAAAAATAGAGGGGTTTTGGTTGCTGTTGTTGTCTTTTGCATATGGATCCAGTTGTTCCTCTGTTGGAAAGGCCTTCCTTTCCTGACTGACATATCGAACTAGCTTGGTACCTTGGGCCCATTTCTGAAATATATCCTGTTCCCTTGATCTAAATGTCTGCCCTAATGTAAATATCCACACTGTCTCAATTACTGTAGTTTTATAACAGTTCTTGAAAACGGTATGAGTTTTCCAACATGATTCTTTGTTTTAAAAATTGCTTTAGTTGTTCTAGGTCCTCTGTATTGATATAAAAGGTTTAGAACCAGCTCGTCAGTTTCTACAAAGAGTCTGGTGGGAATTTAATTGCAGTTACATCGTAGGTATAAAGCTTAACAATATTGAATCTTCTGATCTGTGGACACACATGTATCTTCATTTATTTATGTCTTTAATTTCTCTCATCAATGTTTTGTAGCTTTCAGTGTACTGGTCTTGCACATATTTTGTTAAAATTGTCTCTATTTAATGTTGGGTTTTTGGCATAGAGCCTATATTTTTTAATTATAATTTTTTTTGTTGTGGGAAATACGTATAACAAATTTACCATTTTTGCCATTTTTAACTGCACAGTTCAGCGTATTTCATTTTTATTGTAAATGGCATTTTTTGTTTAATTGTAATTTCCAATGTGTAGAAATATAAGTGATTTTTGTATACTGACCTTGTATCCTGCTATATTCCTAAATTAATAGTTCTAGTTGCTTTTTTGTAGATTATTTGAGAATGCTAAAGCTTAGGTGTAATAATTACATTTATTTAGTATTTGATATGTATCAGCACTACTCCAAGTGCCCTACACAGATTTTATTTTATTTTACTTTTTATTTTATTTATCATACCGACAACATTTGAGAAAATTGAGCTCAGGAGGTTCGATGGCTTGGCCAGAGGACCCACAGCTCGTATTTTTCAAAGCCATAGGGGTGGGGGAAGTGGCTGTTTTGGAAAAGAAGAGTTGCTCATTTTTCACCTGCTGAACATTTCGTTTCCTGAAAACACTGGGGATAAAATAGTCCAGGCCAGATGAACGTAAAGTTACTCAAGTGTAAAATGGCTGGGGTCAGACAACAGCCAGAGTCCTTTCTCTGAGTGCTTCTGTGCCCAGCTGCAGTGCTGAGACTGCATGCACGTTTCCCACTGAATCCCCGGAGGAACCCTCGAGGTAGAGAGCGTTGTCATCCCTGCTCACCCTGCAGGGGCTGGGCGGTGCTGAGGAAGAGACTCCTGACCCCTGTTTAGAAGTAGCAGCACCAGTGTTCATGCCCGTGCTCCGTGAGGCTTGGACAGAAACGGGAGCTCTCCGATCCGAGACAGGAGGGTGCAGTGGTGAGGGCTCTGCCACTCGAGTCACTGGCCCTCTCTGAGCCTCAGTTCCTTTATCTGTATGGAATCTATTTATCACTGTTGTTGTGTGTGTCATTTTCCTAAATGAACCTTTCTGCAGAGAGACTCCATCTGTGGTCTGCATGCTGGCGCTGGCCCAAGCTGAGAGAAACACGGGCGTTGGGTGTGAGATTGGAAACTTGCATGGCAATTTGGCAGTGATGCAGCGCCCAAGCACATGATTTGGTTTCATATCTTGCAAAAGTGTTGGTCACAATGCATCGGAGATTAAGAAAAATCCCAGACTGGTCTTTTGCATAGATGGTTTGTGCGACATGGCTCTAAGGGATCCCCTTGGACTTGCTTGTGTCTCCTCTCCAAGGCCCAGTCCCAGTGGCACCCTGCCCAGCACCCCGGCCCTTCTCTTACTGTGCCCCGATTCTGTGCCCAGCCGTGCTCCAGGGCTTTCTCCTGCTCCTCAAACACCTGAGCACGTGCCTGCCGTGGAAGGCAGTTGGTGAAGGTAGTTGGTGTTTCCTGTTCCCTCTGCCTGGAGTGTTCTTCTTGCCCACCTGTGGAGAGCAGGCTCCCTTGTCGTTGGGGTGCAACGCAGAGGGGTGCCCCCCCCCCCCGCCTCTGCCACAGCTCCGTGTTCGCTGCGGGTCCTGTCCCGCGGAGCTGGCGTGTCTGTCGGTCGCCTGCCTCCTCTCGCTGGAACGCACGCAGGCTCTGTGAGCCTCTCCGTCCCTAGAACCGCGCCTCACACGACGTTGGTTGAATAACTGCGTGAATCAAGACAGTTCGGCTGTGTAGAAGGCTTAGATGAGCTGATGGACGCTGTGCTGCCCGTGGAGCAGGCGTGCCAGAAGTGTGAGCCCCACACCCGCCCCTCTGTTCCTTCCTCGACTCCCCCACCCAGGCCCATGTGGGGCCGCCCTCATCCTGGCCTTGTGGCGCCGCTCTCTGTGGGGTGGAGCCGCGAGGAGGTCCTCAGCCTCGCCAGGGGGACAGTCGTCTGCCTGTGGTGAGGTGGCTGGACCCTCACCCAGCCGTTGTGTGGACCTGGTGGCCCGCTGCTATTTTATAATGGGGGATTGTCCTGAGAAGATGGCTAGCAGGTCCCTGCAGGGCCACCCTGCGGTCTCGGCCTTGAGGCCTCTAGAATCGGAGCACCCTCCCTCCTGGGAAGGGCTGGCCCAAATGACCCCTGTCTTCTTCATACATGTGTTCATTGGCTTGTTTGGTCATTTCAACAAATACTCATTGAGATATGGTCCTTGTCCTCGGGAATGCATAGTCTAGAGGGGCAGATGTGAAACAAGCAATTATACAAATATGTAGGGACACTTGTGACCACTGCTGGGAAGGACATTAGAGTGTGACGGTCATGGAAGGCTGAACAAGCTTCAGGATGAGGGCTCGCTTGCTGGAATTAGGGGAGTGTGCACACACTGTGTGTGCCGTGTTCCCTCGTGTGCGCTCGGGTGCGTGCACGTGTGTGAGTGTATCCTGAAGGAGTGTTCCAGTCAGAGGACGGGGCTCGTGTGACGCTCCTGAGCAGAGGCAAGCATAACATAGCACAGAGATGGAGAGAAGGCCACCATAGAGGGCGTGGCAAGGGAGGTAGAGCCCAGAGAAAGGTGAAGCCTTGGCGGGTCAGCCCGCTCTGCAGGCCCTGCCTGCTCCCTGCGCTCTGCCGTGGAGGGCCACATGCAGCGTGGCTCGGAGGCCCACCCACCGCTGTGCCGTGAGGCCCCTGGGCGTCACAGGGCTGTAGGGGGCCCAGCACCCGCCCTCCAGCAGAAGAAAGCCATACCACTGCACTGTGTCCCATCCCTCATCTCGCACGGGGTCACGGGGCCGGAGAGGACAGGGACCTGCTTGGGGGTGCAGCAGACATGCTGAGCTCCCTTCCTAGTCTGGGGAGCTTCTGTTTGTTCTCCATGCAGGAACCAGAGGAGCTCTGGAACAAAGCGTACCCCGTCCTGCCCTCCCCTGCTGGTTAGGATCTATAGTCTCACAGGGTCTCACAGGGGCTGTGAGTTAAGGTGTTTGACTGCAAATGGCAGAAGTCTAGAAGGGTATTGGAAGGGGCTCTCAAGGTGGCTAGAGACTGCGCTTGTGCAGGGCAGGGCCTGGCTCACTGGGTGCCTGGGCCCAGGCTGCACTGGGGTGGTGAGAACAGCCAGGGCACACGCCCTTTAGGAAGCAGGTGACTCCCCTGGGAGCTGAGGGAGGGGAAAGGATGCCGAGAGCCCACCAGCGGCCAGGGTGCCCGCGGCTCCCCAAGCCCCAGTCTGATTCCTGTCCTGAGCAACAGAGCCATCCGAGCCTCTGTCTGGCGGGACACACCCTGCAGCACCCGGAGCGCCCTCTGCCCGCAGTGCGCCCCTGTGCAGCTTGCTCGTTGCTTCCAGAGAAGCCTTGGTTCTAGTGTGGCTTCTCCCAGCCCCTAGAGGCTTCTTGGTAGCCCTGTCCTCCAGATTTTTGTAATTGATGGTTTAAATGCCCCTTTAACGTTAATAGCTGTCTCCTCTGGGCTGCGGCGAGCTCCCTGAAGGCAAGGACTGCTTTTTTGTCTTGGTTTTCTTTGTCTAGTGCCTAACAAATCATTGCCAAAGCCCGCTGGGGGCGGGGAGGGGTTTCAGTGGCTGACCTCTCTCCTCTGCTCCGTGTGAGGCCGTGCTGCGCAGTACCAGGCGCGTGGGGGCCAGTGCTGGCTTTGAGTCATGACTCCGCTGCTTTCTAGACGTGGACCAGCCACACCGAGCATCAGCTTCCTGGGCTGGCAAGTCCCCTCCGCACAGAGCGGCTGGGGCTGGGCCTCAGTGTCGGCTGTTGGCCGAGGTTCTAGGCTGGCCCGTCCTGGGGAATGCCTGGCTGTCCCCCAGCTCTTGGTCTGCCCCCAGGTCCGATGTCACTTTCTTCTCACCCTCTGGCCCCTGTTCACCTCCAGTATGCCTGGGTGGAGAAGCACTTTGGCCCGGAATTTCTGGAGCAGATGGTGCTGACCAGAGACAAGACCGTGGTCTCCGCCGACCTTCTCATAGACGACCGGCCGGACATCACAGGCAAGTGGTCTGCGGCCGGCGAGGAGCGCGTGGGGGGCCCAAGCCTTGCAGCCCCTTCTGCTGAGCGGTCACCCCCCAGCTGCCTCCTGCCCGCCCCACCGCGTCGCCAGGTGTTTGCCAGGCGGTGAGCCTCTTCCCCGCTGGGAGGACAGGGCTCCCTCAGCGCTCCCGGGCGTCGGGAGGAGGGTGCCGCGGGCAGCCCTGGGCACGTCGCCTCGAGCCGGAAGCCTCGCCTTCCTCTTGCAGCTTGGAGGCTGCACTCCGGCTCCCAGGCGTTCATTCCAAATGCAGCAAAGCCTTGTTCTTTACAAAAGCAGTTGGGACTGGCCCAGCGTATGGCAGGAGAGCAGGGCAGGTCCTCCGGTTCCAGGTGGTGTGGGAGCCGTGTTTGTCCTTTTGCTTACAGATGATCCCAGGACAAACAGACTACTCGACCCCGAGTGGCCTGGAAAGGAGAGGGGAGACGTGTGGGTTCACTAGGGCTTCGGCCATGGCTGAATCCCGGGCTTCAAGCAGTGTCACTCAACATTCGGTTTCTTTGTCTCCCGGCCCTGCTCTGCCCTGTTTGCCAGCATCTGTGGGCGGGCTGCCGCTCCCAGTAGCTGACAGTAGTTTCAGGGTTACAGCCTGTTCTTTTAGACACCCCAGTGGGAAAACACAGAACATTTCTTCCCTAATGGTTTTGGGGCTGGCTTGGGAAACATGCCCATCTCTAATTCAGTCACCGTGTCCAGAGGGTGGGAGCCACAGGTGTCCCCCAGCCCCTCCTAAACCACGTGGTCTCCCAGGGAGAGTCGGGGCAGAGGGTGCCAGTGACCTGTAGGGCCCAGACGCCTGCTCGCCTTCCGTGTCCTGGCACGAGGGGGGGGGCGGCCTGTGTGAGGAGCTGCGGGCAGGGCCTTACCCCGGGGGGGGGGCGCGTCCCACCGGCAGCACTGGTGTGGGCAGGAGGATGGATGTGTGGGGAGGCTCCCGAGCAGCCTGGCCTTTTCCCACCCCCACCTGGGCCGGCAGAGAGGGGCGGGCGGGGTGGGCAGAGCCAGGTGAGATGGTGGGAAACTGTCCACTGGGGTGCGAGCACAGTCACCACTGTACAGCTGAGGACACAGTCTCGGTGAGGCAAGTTGCCTGCCTGGGGACACCCGGCTGGTCCTGGGTGGCCGAGCTCCAGGGCCCCCAGCCACTGGTCTCAAGTGCCGCTTTCCCTCCCGCAGGGGCCGAGCCAAACCCCAGCTGGGAGCACGTCCTGTTCACCACCTACCACAACCAGCACTTGCAGCTGCAGCCTCCCAGCCGCAGGCTGCACTCGTGGGCGGACGACTGGAGGGCCCTGCTGGACAGCAAGCGGCACCACTGAGCTGGCCGGTGCCTCGGGCTTCTGCACAGGGCCCTGGTCTCAGGGCTTCCAGCTCAGGCCTGCGGAGCCGGTGCTCTGGGGTCAGGGGTCCCTCCCAGACACTAGGGGCAAGATGACCTCCTGCTGCATGTCCACTCCCTTTCCCAGCCCTGCCAGGCCTTAACCTGATCTCAGGGCACAGTTGGGCCCTGTGGGCCCTTAGACACAGACATGTGCTCCCAGGCAGTTTGAGCTGACCTCAGGCAGCGGGCCCTAAGCTGCCAGGGGCCCAAGGGCCACCATTGCCTCTGCACTCCCCAGGTAAGTCCCCCGAGGCATTAGGAGCACCCACCTCCCAGGGTCTTCAGCCTGTCAGCAAGGAGTGCCAGGAACACGGTGACTGAGGTGCTTCCAGTGGGCACAAGCCCCTCACGGTCTCAACTACGACACCCCTCGTTCCACCGCCTGCACAGTCTGGTCTCCCCAGATGGCCTGTCGTGTATTCAGCAAACACTCATCAGGCTCTGTGCCAGGGGATGACACCGGCCCCGCCTTCAACTAGCTTAGAGGTTCCTCGCACCTTTGTCCCCGGGGCCCTGCTCACAGAGACCCACAGGTTTGAATGTTTGTTGAATGCATAAAAAATAAATGCTGTTCACATGTAGCCCGAGGCTGTGGCCTGTCCTGAGATCCTCTGGCATCTGGCCCCTGGGGAACCCACTGCAGTCCTGTAAGGGTCTGGGTGGTCCCACTGCAGTAATGGCAGGGGCTGGGGGAGGGGGGACAGCTTCGCCCCATGCCTCTCTGACGGTACAGAGCCGGCTGCCACCGTGCCTGGGTCGCCCACGCCACACTGGCTGGTGTGGAAGCTTGGCCCCTGGCCTTCCTCTGCCTTCTCAAGCGCCTCATTCCATGCCTGCCCCAGTTCCCTGGAGTGGGCCCCCCATCCTCTGCTCACCCACCAAGGATAAGTTCCTGTAAGATCCCAGGAACCCTGGGGGGATGGCTGATGTTAGGGCCTCAGCTGTTTTTCCTTTTAACCCACTTAGAAGTGACAGCTTGAATCAGTCACCTCTCCGCTGCCCTCTGGAGAGATTTTGGGGGCCACTTTCTTATCCTTGAGACCTTCCCCATCCTGTTCTGGCTGCTCCCCGCATCACTGCCCTAGGAAGGAAATGTGGGTTACTCATCTGGGGGTGGGGAACCTGGGCCTCAAGGCCACATGTGGCCCTCCAGATCCCCAAGTGTGGCCCCTCGACCAAATCCAACTTTACAGAACAAATCCCTTTAGTATTAGGTCATTAAATATGAAATGTCTGATTTTGAATCAAAAGTTTAGTTTATTATATCTCAAACAAGAAGCAGTACAACTAAAGTAGGTGCCTAAACTAGCGACATCGTTTTGCCATCTCAATGGCAGCTTTATGCTACCAGCACAAAAACTGCCAGCAGCAAAGAAGCCTGGAGAACGCATGGCGATGAAATCTCTCGAGCCCTTTTCCACAGGTTGTTGAGAATTGAATGTTTTTCCTCGAAAGAAGTGGTCCAAAGCCTGGAAGAAGTGGTAGTCAGTTGGTGCAAGGTCTGGTGAATACAGTGGATGACAGAGAGTTTCCAAGTCCAGCCTCTGTAGTTTGAGCAGTGTTGTTTGTGTGACATGTGGTCAGGTGTTGTCTTGCAAGAGGACTGGCCTGTCTCTGTTGACCAGCATCGGCTGCTTAATCACAAGCGTCCTCATCATTTGGTCCACCTGGTTGCAGTGGACAACCACTGTAATTGACCAGGTTTCATGAAGCTGTAGTGGGTAATACCAGCGCTGGGCCATCAGACAGACACCATTAGCTCTTTCTGATGAATATTTGGTTTTGGACTGTGTTTTGGCACTTCATCTTTATCCAGCCATTGTGCTGAAGGCTTGTGACTGTCAGAAAGAATCCATTTTTCATCACATGTGATAATAATGTGTTCTCTTCTGACGCTCGTTTAACTCATGCGGTACCCATCTATCCAGCTGCTTCACCTTGCCGGTTTGTTTCAGATGGTGCAATATTGTTGGAATAGCGACGTCAAACCTTCCTGCTAATTCACACGTAGGCTGAGAGGGATTTGCTTCCGCTACAGCTTTCAGCTTGACACTATCCACCAGGTCGCCCACGTGGCTCGTTTTCAAGATTAAAGTCACCAGAATGGAACTTCTCAAACCATCAACGGACTGTGTGTTCATTAGCCTTGTCCTTCCCAAACACTCTGCTGGTATTTCGAGCTGTCTGTGCTGTGTTGATTCCACAACGCAACTCATGTTCGAAAATAACACGGATTTTTGACTTATCCATGGTTTCATAAAAAAAAAAAAAATTGTGAAAGATAATCACCAGCCAAAACATGCGTTTGAAAGGCTGAGGATGCACCTTCACAATAAAAAATAAAACAAGAAGTGTCACAGTGAAATGTCAGAGATTTCAACTGTCAAACTTAGTACTTAAGGAAATCGGACATTTCATACTTAATAACCTAATACAAGGATTTGTTCCATAAAATTTGGATTCAGTCAAAAGGCTGCACTCAAGGATCCAGAAGGCCACATATGGGCCCGAGGCCGCAGGTTCCCCAGCCCCGCAGGGTAGGGTCAGGTAGGAGAAAAGACGAGGGAGGAAGAGCTCCTCTGGGCTTGGCCAAGCGCAGCCCTCCTAGCTCCGCTGGGGTGGGCAGAGGTGCTCTGCTGTTCACTCCCACTAGGGATGTATTTGGGGTTGCATCACGGGATGCAGAAACCAGCCGGCCTCGCAGGGCAGTGTCCAGGGGAGCCCTGGCCACCTCGACCTGTGGCCCCGGAGAGAGCCAGACCCCGGAGTGCTGGCCCTCGCTGCTTCTGATGTGAGGAAGCAGCTGCTGCCCAAGCTGAGTTACTTCCTCCTGCTCCCCTGCGCCGGCCTCTCTGCTCCCTCCCCCTGGTCACAGCAGGGCCTGCCCCTTGCTCCACACCCCTTTCCAGAGAGGCCCAGGTCTCCATGTACAGGGCTCTCCCTGCTTTGCTGCATCCGGCTGTGATGACAACCGTACTTCCCTTGGACTTGGTCCTCGCGGTGCAGGGAGGAGGGCCCACCGCACACCTGCTGTGTGCCGGGGTCTGTGCTAGACCCGGGCACAGCTGTGGAGGAGACCCGCCCTGGAAACAAAGCCACTAGGCCCGTTTCATTCTGAGGCCTGTTCTGCTGATGACAAACAATCACTGCCAGCCGGGTTTCTCCCTCCCTCCTGCCCCAGGAGTATTCCGGCTTGGCGGCCCACTTTGCGTGGGGGCGCAGGTGGTGACCGGCATCTGGTCCTCGTGCCAGTGTCACTGAGAGCGGTGTTCACCCACCCAGGGTGAGCTGGGGAGGGACAAGGGCAGGAGCAGGGGGCCGAGCCACTCCCGGGGCCATCCCTGCCTGTCTCCAGCCGCGTTTCTTCCTGACCCTTGCTGTGTGCTCCCAGCCCAGGGGGCCTTTGTCCAGGTCGGCCGGGCCGGGCCGGGCAGCCTGACCCTCTGTCGGCTCCGAGCAGAGCTACTGCAGGAATGCTACGCTCTGAATCCTTCAGCAGGCTGACTCTTCCTCGGCCTTTTCTCTCAAACTGATGACTGCTGTGAGTTTTAAAGGGCAGTTTAGAAACTCTTAAGGCTCCAAATTGCTGAATCTGTTCTCTGCTCAGCTATAATCACTCACCCCGAGGTAGGCAGCCACTTCAGCTGCATAATTAGTTTAAAGGAGAAAAATTAATTGCAGGGCAATGATGCTCTGGTCACTGCTTCAGAACACGGGCCCCCAGAGGAGCGTCCCAAAGCCACTCGCTGTGATGGTGATGTGCCCCTCCAGGGGAGGTCGAGGGCCTGGGGGGGTTGTGAGGGGGTGAGCCCTTGGCTGAGGCGCTTGGTGGGCGGGAGCCTGGGAGAGGCGGGAGTTATGGGGGAGCAGGGCGACAGCCAGTGGGCGCTGCCTGCCCCAGGCCGCCCTCCCGTCCCGTGGGTGCCGCTGCTCCATAGCGCTGGGAGGCCCCGCAGCAGCCCGTGGCCCAGGCCAGGACCCCAGGCTTCTCGTCAAAATTCACCTGGTTGAAATGACGGCTGCTTTCTTCAAAGCTTGGGGAGCACATTTTGCTTCAGAACCCATTCATGAACCCCAGAAAAGGAAGTCCACCTCCAGTGGGAGAGCCGGGCTCGGTCCTGCCCCGAGATGGGGCCATGCGCCAGCTCTGTCCCTGGCCGTATTCACCTGCTGGCGGCTGGGACCAGAGCCCCTGGAAGGAGCGGAACCCAGGTGGAGGGAGCCGGAGGGTCTGCTGGAAGAGCAGGTGTGCCCAGCAGGCAGGAGTCCCCACCACAGCCTCAGGCGCCTGAGAGCCGAGTCTGCCCTCCTGTCCTGCCCGAGGGCAGGGGCGCTTCAGCCTGGCCCCCACCCCAGCGTGACGGTGGCCCTGCCGAGCAGGTGCACACTGCTCCCGCCCTCAGCCCTCTCAAGGCTTTCCTGTTCCCTGTGCCTGGGGGCTGGCCAGGACAGCCACCTTCAGAGGGACCTCCTGGCATCTCCCCGCTTGGACTCCTCTAGTCCCTGAGCCCAGAGACCCCTCCTCTCGTCTGAGGCGAGGGCAGCCGGCCCTGTCCAGGGCTCAGGGTCCCGAGTCCTGCTTGGGCCAGCTCATTTTGACAACACATGTAAGCTCTGAGTCCTCCTCCCAGAAAAGAAGTGATGACAGTCCTCGCTTGATGGTGTCACCAGCGCAAACAAGGCCACGCGTGTGAGGGCAGCATTTTGACTCTTCCCCACGAGAGTCCATGAGGCAGTGCCGTCACGCCCCGCCGAGGAGAAGGTCCAGGGAGGCAGCGACTTACCGGAGGCCGAGTTACGTTCAGACCCAGGTGCGAGTTGCTCAGTGCTTCTCAGCAGCCGGCCTCTGGCCACCTGGGCTGTTCTTCAGACTTCCGCCTGCAAGGACGTCGTGCAGAGACACACCCTCGCTCCCGTGGCGGGGCCCTGCGCACTTCTCTGCCCAAGGGCCCGGTGCTCTGCAGGCTGCTGGTGGAAGCGCCACCCTGTATGTGACCGGGGTTGGTGGGGTACCCTGCGCCCTCAGAAGGACACAGAGTCCTTGGCCAGCTCTTTGCTGAGCAGCTGTCGTGTCACTGGCCCCTGTACCAGGCACTGAGGGACGTAAGTACCTAAGACCACGCCCTCCTTCCCAGGGCTGCAGACGTCTCGCTGGGATCCCAGACGGCGTGGACCGTGTCCCCTGCCGCGGGAGGGTCCCTCCTGCGCCCAGGCAGTGGCTCGGGTGGAGGCTCGGCTCCTTGCATGCCCTGTCAGGAGGCGGCCGCGGGAGTGGTCAGTGTGTCCCAGCACCAGATGTTCTTGTGCCGGGTCCCCTCAGCATTGGCCTGGGGAACAGGTGACCCGAGCCCCCTTCTGTTTCCCCAGCCTGGGGGTGTCCTCACTGCCCCCTCCCCCCTCTCCACGTCTCATGCCATTCATAGCTCTTCCCTTCCAGGCCCCAGACTCGCCTTTGCACGTGCCAGAAACTCGGCTCAAACCTGCCCGTGTGCAAAGCCCGCAGGCCTGGGAGGCCCAGGGATTTCTCCCAGGGGCTCAGACAGCGGGGCCGGGGCTCCTCTGCCTTCTTGTCCTCTACCTC